TGATTCGTGACTAATATTATGCAATCGAAATCGTAACAACTCAACCAACCCATATATAAAATAGGTTAAATGAAAGTATTAAAACATCAACTATATATAACTGAGAACTTAAAATAATATGCTGTAAATGTATTAAAACATAGAGATATTCCAATCATGACGAAAGCATGTATGAATAATTATAAACTATTTTATTGATGAATATTGAAGAAACGTTAAGCATCAGAACTTGCATGCATCAATTTAAACGAACGATTTATACCAAAACCAAACAATAAAGCAATAATTGATAAATCTATTATGAAACATGTGATTTTGGATTCAGTTATAAATAGTTTAATTTGATTAACAGAGGCAGCATGTGCGTAATATCAAAGTTTTAATTAGCAAGCAAGTCAACTCAAACAAATTGAATGAAAGAAGCATAAAGTTGAATCGAATTGTTTTATCAAAGCAATATATCATAGTATCTATTGTGTCCAATACTTGTTAATTTAACAAAGCAGGGAGAGGTTAACTTACATTGATCAGATCGGATCAAAGGCGTTAGAGAAACGGAACCGAGTCGATCGGTGGCAGCTAGGATTTATTCAGTTAGCTAAAATTCGTGTTGATAAGTGTTATGAATTGAAGAAATAGAGAAAAATGTTGCATGTGTCTTATTCCATTAACAAGAGAAAGTAAAGCTTGTGGAGGAAAAAGAATTTGGAGAACAAGTATATATTGGAGAAGAAATAATTCCTAGAAGATTATAGTCACCGCACCACTTGATAGATCTTTCGTACACGAGAGAGAGAAACTTGTATTATCCAATAGAGGGCAAACAAATGTACGATATAGATCTATTTTCTCAATGAATCAAAAACAATATCAGAGATACTCCTTTTAACTGCTTCGTTGACTCTTCTCTTTTTGACTCAACAACCAATAACAATTTCTCCTTATCCACTCTTCTCCTGCCAGCTCATCTCTCCTATTTCTTCTTTCTTTCTGTTACGTCTATAGCTCTTGAGAGGCTTATCAATTAAATGGGTTCATAACAAAGATCACAATACAAAACTTAAACACATCTATAATAATTAATTTTCACACAAAAAAAGAATCCATAAAATGGTAGCTTTTAAACTCTGTAATCAAATGACTCACCATATAGTAGAGGAAAGGATAGAGTGATGAAATCGGCAGAGCTGCAAACACACATGAATCCGCATGAGAATTTCCATAACGAATCATTACTTTCAACACAAGAAATCTTTTCTCACAATTAGCCATTAGCAGCAATACCAACTATAGTCAATCAAAACCAACTATAACCGATCATTTTCCGAAAATTTTCAGAATCCCTCTGCTTTCATAACTATTCGTCCCAAAAAATGCCGTAAAGAGAGAAAAATCAACATAACAAAAAACTGTTTTTGAGAACCAAAGAAGGCATATGTGTTTAAAAATTAGCTTTAGCTTTTGGACTTACACTTAGCACCTTTAGGATGATTGATGCATACATCTCCCTAGCACCATTTCAAATGAATTTTCACCTCCTAGCCGTGGTTAGAAATCGCTTGAACGTGAGAGCTACGCCGACCACGACAATTCACATTCAGGAAGAAGAACACCATATGCGATCCTGCATTCATTTTCAGTTCGTTTAAGTACTATGAATATCATCAAAGAATGACCAAATTAAGGAAAGTAATGAGATGATACCTCGTAGAAACGCAGCGTCTAGTCGCCTCTCACTCCAAGCAAATCTGCCATCAATAGAGATTTGTGTTTAAGACATTACTATTTCTCTGAATCTACTAGGATCCATAACATGATATAGCTTTTAAACTCTCTAACCAAACATACTCACCATATTATAGAGGAAGGGGTAAAGCGAAGAAATAGGCAGAGCTGCATGGGAACACATGAATCCAAACGAATGAAAACCCATAAAGAAAATTGCATAATGAATCGTTACTTGCAACACAAGAAAGCTGTTTAGAGAATCAAAGAAGGCTAAGAAGGTATTTACAAGTGGCGAGAACGATGATCCAAACGAAGGAAAGCTCGAGGTAGGATAACCTCGCCGGAGCTGTTTCATCATCTCCACTTTACATCCGGGACAACCTTCATGATACTTCTGGTTCTCCAACAAAGCTTCCTTGTACTCCTCCTGTAGGACCGAAAATTGGCACACTACGAGATTGGAAATGAATTGCGATAAGAAAGACGTTAAGGGAAGAGA